GAATTTTATTACTCATGTCAGTTATTTGTATTCTTTATTTAGGGTTTTAAACCTTTTCTTCCCTTTGCTGTTCCATCAGAAAGCAGTAGGCAAAAGAGAGAACAAATTAGATAATTTTATTACTAATAGAGTTTAAATAAGTATTTATAGAAGATAAGGTTGTGGTCAACAGTTGGTAGAGTGACATTTTTGGACTACCCTTATTTATTAATTATATGCAAGAGTTATTCAAGTTATGGCTTATCCAGGTGAATTTTATTTGAATTTAATTAACAGCACTAATTCTATTTAAGTGCTTCAGCTTTTCATTTTTGTATATTACAACAAATAATGCAGTACAATTAGTACTTCCTGTATTCTGTAGGAAATCAATTCTTTAAGCATAAGTTATGAAACTGTCCAAGAAGCATGCTACCATCATAGTAAGGCCATCTTGGCTTTTAAATAACCTTGAGAGAAAAGAAACACATATAGGCAATCAGTAACACTAAAATGAATTAATGAATATATGCAATTGGACGACATCCTTAGGGAAATAAAATGTAATTGTTCAATCCCTCTCTTCCACCAGGGTGAAATCCATTGCAGAACAAAGTTTATTTCTCTCTCTATGGACAAGAGTAATTTGTATTACTGTCTGAGTTCTACAGCTTATACAACACAGTGAAAGGCACAGGCCCCTACAAAACCAGATATTCCCAAAGAATTTGTCAGACAATGTCCAGATCCCCACTGAAAGGACACTAGTTAATCCTCTTGTCAACTTCAAAACTGTGCACTTTATTTTCTGACTCTCCTCTTTTCTAATTCCAACATCTCAACTACTTTCTTCTCTCCTATTTGTGCACCTTTGCCCCCTCCCCTTAATGCTTCTGTCCCAGGGGAAATGATTCAGAACTCCAAGATGTTGAAAAACTCAATTGGAAGTTTAGGTTTTGCCTGAGGCTTCCTACTATTGGGATTGCTAGAAATGTAGAGAACTGGGAATAAGGGATCTTGTGAACCACAAGCTTGGTTAAGACTGCATGTTCCCAGAAACTTAACAATTTGCACCTCCCAGTCAGAGAAGGTTTAGATCATTGCATAAAAATGCTGTTTTGCCCAGTTTTTAGAGTTTTACCTGCATATGTGTGGCACAGCATTGCTAAGAGGGCACTTGTCCATGTAGTTGCTCCTTCGATGCTTACCACAACTCTGTGAAGTAGTTCTGTGTTGATTTCTGATCCTCTTAGTAGCAGAGAGTAAACCAAAGCACAGAAAAGTTTCATGAATTGCTTAAGGTCACATCCTGACAAGGGACATGTAGCATTTTTTCTCAGGTTTTCTGAACATTGTTTAGTTCCTATTTCAGTATGCATCCTAGCATTCAACTCAATGAGAATTTATCAAATACTATGTTCATCCTATCTAATAAAAGAGTAATATGCAAATTAAACATCACTCCACTCAAGCCAAGCCCACCAGCCATGCCCACCATTCAATCAGAGCGAGTATGCAAATTAACCCAAACCAAGATGGCTGCAGCCACAGAGAGTAGTTGAGAGGCTTGGGTTTCCCTACAACAGAAGCCAAGCTTTCCACCTGCCCTTACTGGCCTAGGCCTCCACTTAAGGTTTTGATTATAGAAGATACATGAAACCAAACAAAAATGTTGGCAGCTGGTGTGAGCAGGGGGCTTTGCTCTGTTCCAGGCTACATAGTTTCAACTGTAGAAGGTAAATAAATTCCAGATACCAGGGCCTCTACTTGGGTCACCAGGGGGTGTGGTTGGCCTGCAAACCACCACAGGCCCTGGGCTCAGGCTGCCCCACACCCTAAGGGAACCCCTACCCTTCAGGGCAAACCAGCTAGCCCCCACCCTTGCACCAGGCCTCTCTCTATCCCATCTAATAAAAGAGTAATATGAAGATTGACCATCACTCCAACATACAATATAGTTGCCCCCATATGGTCAAAGATCCTGCCCCTTTGTGGACACAAAATGGCCACAACAAGATGGCCAGCAGGGGAGGACAGTTGGGAGGGGCCAGGCCTACAAAGGAGGGCAGTTGAAAGGGACCAGATCTGCAAGGAAGGGCAGTTGGAGACAATCAACCCTGTAGGCGAGGGCAGTTAGGGGTGGCCAGCTGGTAGAGGAGGGAAGTTGGGGGCAAACAGGCTGGCAGGGGATCAGTTAGACATCAATCAGACTGGCATGGGAGTGGTTAGGGGGTAATCAGGCTGGCAGGTAGAAGCATTTAGAGGCAATCAGGAAGACAGGCAGTTGAGCAGTTGGGAGCCAGCAATCCTGGATTGTGAGACGGATATCCAACCTATCCCGGGCCTAAATGGGCAGTTGGAGATTCCTCAAGTGGTCTCAGATTGGAGAGGGTGCAGGCTGGGCTGAGGGACACCCCCCCCCCCATGCACAAATTTCATGCACCGGGCCTCTAGTGTTATATAAAAGAATTTAATCTGTTGAGACTGGATTTTATTTTCAGTCAAGACAATTCCCTTGATATCTATTCATACAACAGCATCATGTAGCAATCTCTTTTTATCTTCTCTCCCTCTCTCTCTCTCTCTCTCTCTCTCTCTCTCTCTCTCTCTCTCTCTCTCTCTCTCTCTCTTGCTATCTCTATCTCTCTTTCTCAGTAATATTCAATGCTATTATTATGTCACACCTTGTTGAACTGTCCACATGATACAACACATTTTGGTTATTTCAGTTGTTTTGTGCTATTGCTCATGACATTTCTATGATATACAGTTTTGTTGGTTTTTTATTTTTTTTTTTTTTTTTTTTTTTTTTTTTTTTTGTGTGTGTGTGTGTGTGTGTGTGTACATAGCCTTCATTCACCTGGATAAATGCATAGAAAAGTACAACTCCTGGATTGTATGTATGTATAGGCTTAGATTCTGAAGAAACTACCAAACTGTATTCCAGAGTGGTTGTATTATACCATTTTACATTCCCATCAGCAACATATGAATGATGTAATTCCCCACATCCTTGCCAATATCTGGAGTTGTCATAGTTTTCCCGATTTTTTAAGGTAAAAAAGGAAACTCCTGTGCCCGAAATGGTTAATTGAAGCAGTGTTCTTGCAAATTTATTTTGATGAATTTACCCATCATGGTGAAACCTGGGTATTTAGGCACTGGAATCCATTTTTACTATGTTGTGTTTTTGTTTTTTTCAAATATAGACATAAATGAAAACTAGAAATTGCTTACTAGAGCATTCTACCTAGTAGAATGTGGATTAATGGTGGCCCATCTTTGTTCCCATTTGGGGTGTGTGTGAAGGAGTATCAAGATCCAGTTTGAGTCATACATATTTAAGATCCTTAATTCATTGTATCTCCATTTTTCCCCCAATATTAAGGAGGGGTTCATAATTCTTCATATAATCATTATAAGGGTTGAGAAGTCAATGTTTTAAAACCAAATAATAAAGTGAGTAGAAGAAAAGAAGTTGATTAAAAATAGTCATTAGATTATAGAGCTTTGACTAGATCCTTCAGGCATATGGAAACGTAAGCATAATTCAGAACTTTTTTTTATATAGGATTTTAGGCTGAATGGAAATGGGCTTTCTTTGGTATAGGAAGATGTTCAGTAATTCAGTTGGAAATTAAAGTGGCATTGATTCTGGGTACTTGAAAATTCAGTCTCTTGGTGGATCTGCAACCAAGAGAGCATCAAAAAAACCTGTTTTCTATTCACTCACTAAACTGTCCTATGACTATTTCAACCACCAATAGTAAACCTACTGAGTCTCTGCCATGTACAGGGCAAAATGCTGGAATCTAGGAAGCTACTCTCTCAAAGATAAGAAATAATAGCGTTATATTCTGGGGATGATTGTGAATATTTACCAGAGTTGAGCATTATAAGCTTAACCCAAGAAATGTGTGATTGCATTGGAGTGAGAAAGCCCACAAGGATCCTCATATACAGATGCAGCGGAGGATTTGAAAGGGATAATTTCAGAGCAACATCAGTGCTTACCTTATGCACATTCAGAGTGTTCCTCTCCCAGCATGTCCTCCAGTATAGGCAAACTCTGAAATGCTTTCAGTGCATATACCTGGCTTTATTGTTACAAAAGGAATTTCATAGATAAAAATATGGCCTTAAGCATTGATCAGATGGAATTAAACATAATTTTTAAAAGTTCTCAGAAAATTTCACTGGAAGTCTTAATATCACAATTTCCTTTCTAGAGGATGGGTAGCTGCATTTTCATTGTTTGGGTAACACGTGTTCCATTTGATAGAAGCTTCCTTACTACCTAAAGCTTTTCATGTTACTTTTTGTCAATAGTCATTTTAGGAATAGTTATTTATGAATTCATCAGAAAATCTAAGGCTCACATCTGTCTTAGGTCACGGTAAAATCAAGTGTAAGGTACCCAGTTGCATTAGTTCCTCACTTTTGTCCCCTGAGTCAGTCTTTACAGGAAGACAACTCTTGCTTTACGGTAAATTCTTAGCACATTATACATACAGGTAATCACTATAGGAGGGCATAATACTAACTGTAGTTAATGTTCACAGAGCACTTTAAGGGGGACAAGCTTTGTTTTTAGATCTTTGCATATTTTAACTTTGTTAACAGTTAACTACAGTCCTTCAAGGTGTCATTACTTGTATACATGTAGCAAATGAAGAACTGAAAAGTGTGAGTCTATCCAAGATCACAAAGATTGTGAGTTAGAATTGTGTTTCAAACCCAGGCAGTGTGGCTCTAGAGCCCTTTTCTCAGCTCCTAGGGTATACTACCTTCTTCCATAAATCACAGCTTAGGGAAAATAAATAACTTTTTTCATTAATATTTGTTATTTAATTAAATATATTTGTAATTATTTATGTATTTACATAAGCCATGGTTTTAATTCATTATTTTAATTTTCCATCTCCACAATAAAAAACATTGTTAACCATTAACTGACTGGCCATAAATTTATGATAATTAATATTAATCATGATTTTTGTGTGTTTTTTTTTCCTTCCCAGTTTTATGGTTGTCTTCAAATGAACATACGCTTATTATTATTTTCCCAATGCTGGCTGTGCTTATGTTCTGGGGAAATGGTATTGTCAGTAAGTAGGTATTTCTATTTTCATTTATGTTTTAGTGATGAAATTGTCATGTGAAGGAGGCAATATTGGTGAAATATTCTATTTAAGTTGTATTAGGAAACGTGATAATGTTATAAATAAAAATATACCAAAAAAAAGTGTCAGTGTAGTAAGTGGATGCTACAAGGACAAACTCCCAGGACCATACTGGAATGACAACTAAAATACATAATAAATTTCTGAATAATCAACAGAAGACTCACTGGAAAGAAACCAGATAAATGAGGATGGAAAATGGAGACCTCATAGAGACTGGTAGGAGGGGTGGAGTCATGAAAGGATTGGTTGGGCTCCCACAGACTGCAACTGGAGTTATGGAGAGATATTTCAACTGTGGGATTTGCTACTAAGAACTCTGGGGTCTAAACTCCAAGCTTGGCACTCCAGCAGAGAACACCAGAACTGAGAAAGGGTATCCACATAACATATGGTTGTGAAAAGCAGCAGGGTAGCTGTCTTCCAGGGAGAAATGGCTGGAAATGCAGGTACCTTATTAAAGGGCCAATGCACAAAGTTCTCTGTGGAGCAACTCACCTTATGCTCTGGCAGAGGGTGGACAGAGTGGACTGGAACTGTGTAAGCAAAACTGATTATCAGGAGCTCTGGGGTTAGAACTCAGGAGGCAGACACCTCAGTTTCTGGCACTGAGTCATTCCCTCATGCTGCAGAAGTCATCTTTCTCATGCAGACATTTCTTATATAGGCAGCTGTGCCTGTGGAGAAGATAGTTGACCCACCCTATTGGAAAACACCTCACCTCATGGTTCAGAGTTTCTGAGGCCATTTTTGAGCATAATAATTAGCTTCCTGGTAGAAGCAATTGGCCCACCATGCTTAAAAAACAAAAGACAAAAAAAAAAAAACCTCACCAGACCCATGGATAATTGTCTGAGGGCTATTCAAGAGGCAAGCCTATCAGTCTGTTGCCAGAGATAGTCTCTGGAGGCTTTGAATATTTGCCTGAGTTAGTCAGAAACAGTGTTTGACACATCTGCAATATAGATTGAAAGGCATAGATCCACCTGATACATAGTCACAAACCCATACAGGAAGCCAAAGTAAGGAGACAAAGAAACAACCATCAATGAAATAATAAGAGAATTCTTCAGAAGAAGAGATAAGTGAAATGGAGATAAGAAATTTATCTGATATAGAGTTCAGAATAATGATGGTAAAGATGCTCAACAGCATGGTAACTATGAAAACAGATATAAAGAATGACATAGCACAAATATAGAACACATTGGAAGGAATACACAGCAAATTAGGGGAAGCCAAGAACCAACTCAGTGAATTAGAAGACAGGGTTGGGAAAAAAAAATCACTCAGAGGACTAAAAAGAAAAAAGAAAAAAGAAAAAAACACTTAAAAAACAGGAGGACAATTTAAATGAGCTATGAAACAATGTAAAATAAATAAATAAATAAATAAATAAATAAATAAATAAATAAATAAATAAATAAATAAAATAACCAATATTCAAATAGCAGAAGAGGCAAAAAAAAAAGATAGAGAATGTGTTTGAAGAAATAATGGCCTAAAATTTCCATAACTTGGTAAAGGAAAATGTCACACAAGTACAGGATGTACAGAGAACCCCAAGTAAGAAGTATCCAAATAGGCCCATGCCCAGAAACATCATCATTAAAACTTGAGGCCTGGTGCACAAAATTCATGCATAGGAAGAGGTGTGTGTCCCTCAGCCCTGCCGGCATCTTCTCCAATCTGGGACCCCTCAAGGGATGTCCAACTACACCCTCACAATCCAGGACTGCTGGCTCCCAACTGCTTACCTGCCTTCCTGCCTGGTAGCCCCTAACCACTTATGCCTGCTAGCCTGATCGACACTTAACTGCTCCCCTGATGGCCTGATTACCCCAAACTGCCCTCTTTTGCCATCCTGGTTGCCCCTAACTTTCCTCCCCTGCAGGCCTGATAACCCCCAACTGCCCTCCCCTGCTGACCCAGTCACCCCTAACTCTACTCCCCTGATGACCTGGTTGCCCCCAAACCCCTCCTCTGCAGGCCTGGTCCCCACCAACTACCCTCTCCTTCAGGCTTGGTCACCCCCAACTGCACTCATCTGAAGCTTTGGTCACACTTTACTGCCCTCCTCTGCTAGCCAGTCACCCCTAACTGCCCTTCTCTGCTGACCTGGTTGCCCATAACTGTCCTCTCCTGCTGGCCTGGTCACCTCTAACTGCCCTCCCCTGCTGGTAACTTATGGCAGCCATCTTGTGTTCAGATGGGGGCATCCACCTTTGGCCACATGGGGTTGGCCATCTTGTGTGTTGGAGTGATGGTCACTTTGAATATTACCTTTTCATTATTTAGCAGTGGTTCTCAACCTTTCTAATGCTGCGTCCCTTTAATACAGTTCCTCAGTTGTGGTGATCCACAACCATAAAATTATTTTTGTTGCTACTTCATAACTGTTATTTTGCTACTGTTATGAATCATAATTGTAAGTAACTGTATGTTCCAATGGACTTAGGAGACCCGGTTCTCAACCTATGGGTCACAGATCTTGGTGCTGCATTAGATGTAGCATGAACAATGTAGAATTGTCACTACTAAGTAGAAAAGTTGCATTGTGGTTGATGATTATACTCAACCAGGTACAGTTGATCCTCAAATAACATGGGTTAAACTATGTGAGTCTATTTATATTTGGATTTATTTCTATAATAGTATTTTCTCTTATGATTTTCTTAATAACATTTTCTATTCTCTAGCTTACTTTATTGTAAAAAAAATATAGTATATAAATACATATATCATACAAAAATATGTGATAATCAACTATTATATTATCCATGAAGATTCTGGTCGACAATAGAGTATTAGTAGTTAAGTTTTTGAGGAGTTTAAAGTCATATGTGGATTTTTTATTACATGAGATTGAGGTGTCAGCTCTCCTAACCCCTGTGTTATTCAAGGGTCAATTGTATTTCCACACCAGTTTAATAAAGGAAATGTACTAAATTAGTGAAGTTTTGAGGTGACATTCTAAAACTTTTAAACTTTTAATCTGTAAGATTTATTCCATGTCTCCCAATAGTGCACTAAAATAGTCAATCATTGGAGGCCAGTGGAACATTTATACAAGGCAAGGAATAAATAATGCTGATTTTGTTTATGTATTTTATTCTGCAAGATTTAAAACCAGTGAAAACTAGTAAAATATTATAGCAAATTGGCCTGTTGTAAATTTCATTATTTTTACTTTTATTCAGAAGTTTAAGGTGTGTATATCTAATATATATAAAAGCCTAAGTGACCATTCAACCATTCAACCGGTAGCTGTGACGTTCACTGACCAGCAGGGTCAGTGCACAGGCATGAAAACATGGGACAGACTGATAAATCTCAGAGGGAAGAGGGAAGAGGGAGAGCAGGAAGAAATTAACTAAAGATTTTATATGCATACTAGAGGCCCAGTGTACAGATTCATGCACTGATGGGGTCCCTGGGCCTAGCCTGCAGGGTCTGGACCAAATCTGTGCACCAAGCTTCAACATCTCCCAAAGGGTCCCAGATTGTGATATGGCACAAGTCAAGCCAAGGGACCCCACCAGTGCACAAATTCATGCATTGGGCCTCTAGTGATTATATGAAAATGAAAAGGGGGATGACTGGGTATATACTTCAAGACTCTTCCTCAATGGATGGCACTCTGTAAATGCTTTATGATTTCAAAGGCAATAAAAGGGGAAGCTTTTAGCTAACAGTGACAACTGTCAAGACATGTCATAACTCTCACTTCCAAAATGGTGTCTGAATTTCCTGTGGAAATTTTCTTCCAATTTTGAAAGGCCTTTTATATCAAGCAAAAGGCTGGTATAGCATCAAAACTTCATCAGTCTTCCCTGATTTAGGGAAAGCCTAGAACCCTAGTGGCAAACCCAGGCATTAAGATGTCTGTCATATAATTTTGGGTAGAGACTTGGCTTTTTTAAGATTATAAAATCATTTCAGAGTGTGATTTGTTGCATTTGGATTGACTGCAGTTTGGGGATCATGGTATGCTCATTAATAACATTATTTTCCATGGATTTAACCAGGAGTAAATCTGTTTCTAATAACCATTTTTTGATAAAATAAGATTTACATTTTTTTCTGACTTAAAACAGTAATTCATGTCACTTTAGAAAACCTTATACAATATAATAATTTACAGAAAAAATAATAATCTAGAATCCCACAACCTAGAAATAAACTATTGGTCTAGTGTAGTGAATTTTCTGCTTTCTTTTTTGTCCTTTTTCTATGTATTTTTGTTACCTTTCTTTACAAAAAGAAAAGTGATAAATGCACTCATATAGCTTATATACTTGTATATTCTGATTCTTCTCCTGTCCATGTTTTCAGAAATATTCTTATAGTTGCTTCTATGTTCTACTTCCATGGATATACTGTAATGTACTAAACTCTCATCTTGATGGCTATTAAGGATGTTTCCAGTCTTTTTTGATATAGGAAAGTAAGGCTGCTAAAGATATGTAATAATGTAAATGACAGAGATATTTTAAGGCTTTTGATACGTTCTCCCAAGTGTTTTCTAGAAATATTGCATCAATTACTACTGCAGATGAAAATACCTGACTTTCTCCACACAGTCCTGACATCTTTATAATTCTAAAATCCTTGCTAATTCAATGGATGAAAAAATATCCTGTTTTAATTTTCATTTTTGTGTTATTGAAGTGAATGTTCTTTTTTATATTTATTCTATTGGCCATATTTTAAAGAATGTGTTTATGAACCTAAATATTTTGCTGACAATATTTTATTTAGACTCATCTTAGAATAAATAACTTTGTTGTATGAGTAAGGTAAATATGTATTTGATTCACTCAGCCTGGGCTCAGATTTGAAGATGTTTATAAAAGTGACATGTGAACATTTGTAGTGTCCTTGTGCTGTGTGATGGACACATTGTAAAGTACTATCCAGCTTGG